TACGCACCTGCGGAAGCAAAAAGTGAATATGAATTTAAATGTTATATTACTATATATATTAAGTTATTCCATTATAGTATTATAGTATTATTGATGTTACGTTATTGTTTTGTTATTATATTATGTTTGTAAACTAATATTATGCACCCCGGACGCCGCATTTTTATTGGTACTGGGCTTTTGAATAAAGCCGTAGCTTTGGCAGCACGAGTGACCGTTTTTATCTCTGCTTATTCCTCTTGTGCCTCTGGCCGTCCCATTGGGGTATATTTGGGACGGATTTTGGTCGCACCAAACATTTAGGTTTGGCACTATGCTTTCAGTATAGCGTGAGTAAATTCTGAGAATCGATTTTTGCTTATCGTTTACACCATTTGTTACCAGACAAATGCATTTGCATTATATGTCAAGCGTGCGCTGGTAAAAATATTTTTGAGCGTCCGAGATTCCTCTCAAATATGTTCAAATAGAAAGGTCAATGGCGTAATATACGAACAGGCATGACGCTCAAATGGGCACTCCAGGAAAACCTTTTGAGTAATCATACTATGGCAGTATCTTTAATCTTATAGAACACTTCGGATTTAGGGTTTTCTATGACTGATCAAAAGAATCTAACTCTAATGCTACCCGCGATCTGAAACCACCGTTTTACCTATCCTGTATTCCTGGCCTTAAAGTCTAAATGGGACAGAAACAGTAGGAGTATCCCGCGAATGTTCAGTTTTAAACCGTCGTTGCTCCAAGATAGTTTGATGGGATTCTTTTTGTCATTTCAACGTGTCAGATCAGCACCTGTGCATCCCACATCGATAAACCAATCAGTGATTATGTGCACTGCACGAGTTGTCTCCACTGTGTCTATTGAGGGAAGTAGCAATATACGTAATGATAGGAGGCGAAAAGAAACGGAAAGGAAACATACCAATCAACATAACCTAGACGTTTGAAAGGTTTAGCGCCAACATCTGTATGAGAAGTTTTAATAAACTAGTGGGTTCACAGCCATTATGTCGCAGTACACAGAAAGGAACAATAATAATGTGGCGTAACAGGGGTGCACCAGCTGCGTCAGTACTACCAGCTGGATGTCGTTCCACAGACCTAGTAGCCGGTTGTTGTGCCGCAAAAAGTTATACGGTCAAGCCTGTCTAAGGCGACCACTCAAGGGACGGACGAAAAATGGTCACTCTGGACGGGTGGTCGCCATGGACAGGTCCATGAAAGAAGACATTACTCATGACTGAATACATTGGGGGTTATTTTTGGCTGGCCGCCCTAGACAGATGGTGGCCATAAACAGGTGCTCACCATGGTAGGTTGGACTGTATTAAGTTTCAGGAATGAGATCAGGGTTGAAGAAGCAGGAACAAACAACTCACAACACCTACACTGTTGATGTCGGCTCCTTGCCAGAGCTACCAGTTCGTCCGGACCACGTTTTTTATCGTCTTTCGGGCTCACAAACCAAATGGTGATGCTCCAACCGGGACCAACTTTGAACTAAGGGCCTTCATTCCTTTTTACCATGTCGTCAATTGGCCTCCATTCCTTTTTTCTGCCTACACCCGCGGCAAGCGCACAACGCAGGTTGCGTGAGTCTGTGTTCTGACATACGAAACACGTGGCCCAACCATCAGATCCTAATACGTGGTACGTGATATAACGATGCTAAGTGGTCCACATCACTCCGTTGTGCTATTAGCAAGACGCCAAACACGTTGTTCTCTTATACAGTGTTCCCACGCGATGTGAGCGAAACTGCGAAGTCACTGATGGTCGAACGTCGCTGAGCTCTTTACGTCTGCGGTTATCTTAGACCTGATTTCACAACCGTGCAGCATAGTCGAACATACGGTTGCACTGCACACTTTACCTCTCCGAAAGTGAGTGATATCACGCGGGCGCAATTGGTGGAGTAGGTTAACAATGCGCCTTAAGCTTTCGCTGTACGGTTTGTGACCTTGCCTTTGGTCCCACAGACGCCTAGGTAGTCGAACTTCCGAACGACTTCTAGATGCTCCCCAAATTGGCTCAGCGAAAAAGACGGCTTTTACCAATCTTGGAGGAGATTTTGGATTTCCAAGGTGCAAAGTAATGCCAGGAACGACGCGAAGCCAGTGCTAATATGTCTAGTGCTGTTCGGTACGTTTGTGAGCTGTCATCTATGAGGGTAAGGTCGTCAACCTACTTCAAATCAAGAAGTCGTTCATCTGGGAGCAGTTCAAAAACTTCTAGGTTGTACCAGTAAACGATTTCTATAACTTTTTACTAGGGAGGTTGAAGAGGAATGGTGACAGCAGCCTTCTCTGTTTAACCGTTGGAGATATTGCAGGGCGGCAACAGCATGCCGTAAGCCCTAATTCTGCCCGAACAACGCGCGTAAAGCGCTTAAATAATATTTACATTTTCTGTCACACCATTCCTTAGAAAACAGTCCCAAAATGCACATCGATCAACCGACTCGAATCACCGTTGAGGTCCAGAAACACCATAATGGTGTGCCGCCAACATATGTGACGGTAGCACAACAATTGACGTAAATGATGATGAGATCGATGCAGACGGGACCTCGACGACATCTTACTTGGTTCTCACAAATCTGGCTTTTTAGAGTGCCAGTCAGTCTGAAAAGCATGACAGACGCAAGCAATTTGGAGGGGATGGAGATCAGGCTGGTTCCTCTATGTTTGCTGCATTCCGAGCGTGAGCCTTCATTATAGATCAAGACAATAACGGAGCGGCTCCAGTCGGTTGTGACAGTCCCCGGCTCCCACAGCTTCGGCAGTATCGTGTAAATCTTTAACCAGAGCAGAGCCTCCGAAATTATGGAGGGCTTTGGTCAACTTTGGCAGTATAATTTTACGTTATACTTCAGAATGAGGATGTGGAACCAACCGGATGGCCCAGGCAGCATGGTGCTTATCGGCTGGCGAGAAATCTGACAGTTCCTACAGGTTAAATTGCCTTTCAAATGCTCAGTACAACGCTATAAGCGTTTTCACAAGCTGTGGATCTGTTTTCTATTCTCGTCGCGCATGGTCTCGCTAACAGCAGCACCCCTGCTGCCCGTTTCCCGTATCAGACAGCATAACTTACGATAATTACTGACAGCAGCTGCTGTTTCCATTTCCGATGCACGACGAGGCCACTAGGCTTCGCGGACTATCTTCAGGCTAGCACGGAGTTTTGCCCTGAGCTCTTTGCGGGTCTCATTATGTTCGTTTCCAGCCAGAAGGTGCCGGTGAGCCTTGCTAAGTTCCAGAGACTACGAGGAGACCGAATATCCATGTTGGTGATTTGACTTACCACACGAGGAGTTGTCTGCTGCTAGTAGGGTCTGGGGAACATGCAACCAGTGACCTTTAACTGGATTCACTGAGCGCTTACTCGATCCGCAAGTCAACGTATTTTAATACGCATTCAGAACAGCTGCCTTCGCCAGTTAGCTGGTGTCAATGCGCTCATGGGGTCGTCATGGGCAGATCAGCACATCCAATTGTATGCTTAGTGTCCACGTATGTGCTCCAGATCGCTCGACAGTCTTGAACGCAGATACTCCAGCGGCAACTGATCGCAATGTGATCTATTTTCATCCAAGTCTAGTCTAAATCTGTTGGGTGCCATATCACCCTCCGATGCGTGCTGCGTCGGAAGTTAATGCTGGCAAGAAACAAACGAGCTTTTTCACACAAATGAAGTAACCGCTCACCGTTGTCATTGCAGGAGCCTACACCGTGTTGGTTTTCCAGATGAGTTTCATCAATGGACATTTTTCTAACTTGAGTGTTTAGATCCCCAGCCAGCACTACAGTGTCCGTGTTCCTTCTGTGGCGAAGGAGCTCCTTTTGTTAAAGACAGAAATAATCTTTTACCGAACCATCGCTACAGTTTGTGGGCGCGTAGGCAGTGATGACAAACAAACACCTATTATTCCCTATCGACTTCGCAGCTTTGAACGAGCCAACCAGTCGGACGGCGCACATCCGGCTGCAATCAACCGGGATGCAATCAACCACAGCAGCCTCAGCATGGGGACTCAGCCGAATACCAACACCGGCTTGAGCGGCACTCGAACTTATATCATCTTCGAATAGACAAAGTGAGAACTCACTGCCAGCGTCATCTGAAGTAGGGCGGCGAGTGAGCACAAATCTCGAGTCTTGCAGGCGAGTTTTGGATAAGACCAACCTCATCCAGTCGAGGCTCGAGCACTCTTACCGTGGATGCCAGCAGCACATCCCAAGCACTAACTTCTCTAGGTAATAACCTGCTCTCAGCACCAATTCGATCAGATCGAGGCTTAAACAGCTTCCCTGGATGACTACGGAGAGTTGGCAGTCTCGTTATGTGGAAGAAATGATATAAATCCGGGCCAAGTTGACCCGTCAAGATACCATAGGTGGGTAGTATGTCCCAAATATGCCGTCGGTAGTGCGGCAAAAACACCTAATGTAAACAACCTCATAGGATAGGATATGCATCTTAACTCAAACAACCCCATTTCCGAACCACAGGACTAGCTCCACTGCCACCTATTCCCGAAGTTATCAGGGAGAAAAAGATTGTACGCAGTATTCCAGGTGGCGCTCCCTTTGTATCGTGTCCTAATCTCTTTACGTCAAACTGACAAGCACGATGTCGTCGCGTCTAGCCTAGAATGCCATTGTCATTTTCCCCTGCCTTTGCCTTCCAATGTTGCCACGTCATCCTTCCATTCACCTTAGCCTCAGTCCTCCATCGACAGCTGCAACAACGCCCTCCATCTCATCAAGAGGCGCACACTCCACCTAGCTGCGCCTCTTACTAGATGATTGTTATGAGACTATCCAGCCTAGTACGAAGTATCTGTATTGATTTTCATCCCTCAGATCTATTACGATCCAAGTGCGCTCTGGACACGGAAGTCATCGATCGGACGTATATCACAGCGTTATATCAAAAATACTTAAACTTATTTTATAGCATTCTGCGTGCTGCATACTTCACAGTTTCTTACCATGCTTGTCCCCAAGTTTAACGTCACCCTGAATACTGGCGTTATGAAGGAAGACGGTTTACTGTCCTCTTTGACGTCCAATACAAAATCGATTTTGGGGCATTTGGTCCATGCCACAAATGGCAACTATTCCGAGGTACGATGTGAAGTGTTTGCCTACCGACATTTAGATCACCAGGATGCTTGACCAAATATTAAGCGAAACACAGATCGAAATAAAAAATTTAACAGAATCGCAAGTTACGGACCAGGAGTTCTACGAGCGTTTGACTAAGTTAGGAGAAAAGCACAGTGATACGCTGAAACTGGTTGAGACAGTTTATCACAAAACTCACCGAAGCTCACTTCTTTCATCTAACAGAACAGAAACGGAAAACTTTGTACAATACCCCCAGAGTGAATATGCGGCAAATAAGTATCGGATGGCTTCAAGGTAAGCAGTGCTGATGTGTCGCCTTCCCACCTAAAACTGTACTACTAGTCCAAAGCGTTTGCAAAACGACAAGGGATATTTGCGAGACAAACCAGTGCATTCAGTTCCGAATAATCAGGCCACTCAAAAGACACAATATTCTCCTGTTCTGAGTAAGTTTGTTTTTATAAATATAAGTCTTGCGAACACTCTCAAATTCTTAGACACTTTATCACTTTTAAGGAGACCATATTCAGTACTATTTAACCGGGGTTAATGCACACGATGTGTCGTAAACAAACCGATCACTTTAGCCCGTTATAGTTTCTAACGGAATGTATGTGATATGCATGGATTCTAACGTGACTCGGTGTTTGTGTTCCTCATTCATCAACTGAGTTACGCAACTCGTCACTTTTCAAGTGCCTTCATAGCCAATCACACAAGACAGGTCAAAGTTTACAGGTCAAACTAACTCAGTCTCACAATCCTCTCCTGGTGTTAGTTTGAGGTCAATGGATCCATTACCTTAAAACCTATCCATAGAGACAACTGGTTTGCGGATTATGAGCTTACAGCCTGATAAGCATGCAGCACAAGCGCCACGTATTTTATTTGACAATGGTAAAGGACGGCCCCATGCTCAATAATTTACAACCGTCCGTCTCATGCCCAGCAACCCCTGGTCAAATTGATGGAAACCCTCTTATTCCCATCTGAGGTTGGTTGTGGTTGCAAGTGCGTAACATGCTACGGTCTTAAAACAATGTAGATTATTCTAAATCTACAAAGTATTTATACCACAGGCCTCAAACTGATCCCGGTAGGTCGCTGCAATCACACATCTGAACTGGACTTCCTTCCCATTGTCTTACAATTCAGGTTGTTAGGCCAAAGGCTCCGAGTGTAGTCTCTTCAAGGAACATTTATCTTACTCCATTGTATTGTGGTTCAGACTTTTGCACCAAAAGCTACGAGTAGAGCTCCCAGAACAAATCACTTCTTTCTGAATGGGCACTAAGAGCGTAGCATCTACTTAGAGTGGAAGACTTGCCGGATGACGCACTGCTAAAAGTAGTATATAGAAGACGTAGCACCCTTTGGGTCTGGCGTAGAGGTAATGCAAGAAATACAGTATAGATTAACGCGTAGCGCTGCACACATTGGAATGCGTTTTGCACTATTAAAGTGCGGAGTGCATCTACAGGATGGGACCGATGCGCCACTGGTTTCAGTTACCACTGATCAATCACTGGAAGTTGATAATTTTTGGTTTCATATTTTATGGACACATCACTGTAAAGGTTACTCTTTGCATCAGCAAGGCTCATGTGACTTTTCAGAGACTCTTTCACCTATAACGGTAGCGAGATATACGCTGTTGGTCGAAATTAGATTGTGAAGCGCTGCAGAAAAGCCGGTAATACTGTATGGATCAGGGACCTGAAGTCTTTAAACGAGTGTCCGTCTTTGGTCACCGGTGCCTGCAAAGTATTGCTTGCGTCCGATGAGAACACCGGATGTACAGTGCTGTTGTCTCTCAGTTGTTTTTGACAAATACATTTTGACGCCTCACTTGATTGTATGATTAAGCCTAACCGCTTAACCACAAAGAGAAGAGGAAATGACGCTCAGAACGCCGGCTACGCTCGACGACAAGTTATTTGTTGACTCGCTACTGCGACACCGACGCACTACTGTAAGGCGAAAGAGTTCGAACACCGAATTGGCGTCACTAGACTGGGTCTAAAATCTTCATATTTACATCAGGGATTTGCGCTTATCAGTTGAAGGTCACTCCCTTTCTCCTCTTAATTTGCATTCTGATATTGCTTTCCTTTTGTTTTCTAATTTCAGTATTCTTTAGTTGGCCCGCACTGTATGGACGGCTAGTGCGGGTTGTTGAGCATTTTTTGTTTGACCGCGAAGTGAGGCGTGCGCGTTGATTTGGCTCCTCCTTGCAGATCGCTCCACAAATTTTGCTTTTGGATCAAGGTGGTTTTTAAAGTTGGAAAATTCACGGTATTCTCCCACTGCTCTAGTCGCATTTAATCGTGAACTTGCTCCAAAGCTGTCGACCGCTAAGTAAAGTAGTCGTCGGGCACTTGGTGTCTTTATCACTCAGTCGCTTTGTTTATACCACAGAGCGATTGCAGAACGAACGTTCTAGTCACTTAAGCCTACTGTAACAGCCCTGTGACGCATGGGACGTGCAACGGACTGTTGACGTTGAAAATACAGTCAATTCAGCTCGCAGTGGACGGCGAGGCGACCACACGCCCTCACCCATTGATCTGAAAGGCATCAATGGGCCCACTCGTTTACAACCATCATTCAGCTGAAGCCTGTTGTAGGTGACTGGAATGAAGGTGGTATGTGGCCTCATATCGTGTCTAGCAATTGTGCGAACGGGAATCCAGTGTTCCAGTCGCCTCGGACAGTTTCATTCTAAGTGTTCTATGCTCACGATAAATCAGCTGAAACAATGCAATGGAAGACCAGATTCGCTGTGGGTCTGTCCAATATGCATGGTCATCCCACTGATAAAGGTTGTACATGTGCTATCGCAGAGACGCGAAAGACTGCTGGCAATGATTGAATAATTGAGAAACACCAAAATCGCTCCTTTGGAAGAAAGCGCGACAATGAGCAAACCCAAGTCCTTCCCAGTAGGCACCACTTCAAAACGGAGAAAGAATGCCGAACATAGCGTTAAAAATGCGTACCTGTGACTTTGGACGTCAATGCCACCAGTGGCCCAAATACTCCCGAACCAGCCACCGCCAGTCCGATTGGACTAAGTGCGGCTGGAGCCTCGTCCACTCTCCGGACTGTACGGAAACTTCAAAATAACTTGATACTAATGGTGCTTGGAACATGCTTGCTGCCAACGAAAACCGGAAACTTAGGACTTCAGTTACTCCAAATGGACCCAAAGTAAATGGAGAAGGCGTACCTTTACTTACACAACCTCCGCCGGTTGTATGTACACCCGCTAGACGGTTGACCCCAACCCGGACTGCACACAGTGTCCCATCAGTAATCCGCACCAAACTCCCAAGTGGACATCAAATTCTTCAAACGAAGAACAGTTTGATTGTGTGAACCAGTGGCATTTCATCTGTGACATCCTAGATGTCGCAGCTAAGCCCACAAACTTCACACGGGTCAGCTGTCACCAAACTCAGAGCACTACAGTGAACCGAAACTTCGAGTTTCATTGACTTCCTCCGATGCAGCAGAGGCAGTTCTGTTATCGACATCTTGCCTCTGGAATAGGTCATATTTCATCCGCATCTTTCCGGATATGCCGTGGAGCCAGTGCAAACAGCCGAAGCACTACTTTGAAAATACCAGAAGGAATCTGTAGCTAAGACCATCTTTGTACATCATCATCATTATACACACCAGCTAGAGGTGGGAGAACACCTCCGCTATTATGCCGCAATACATGAAGGAAATACATACATACATATAGTACAATACACAAAGGAAAAATAGATACAACAGCTGCATGCCAGCTGAGCTACCAGCAACGGATAGACATCGTTCCGGTGAGCTTCCAGCCAGCTCCTAGGCAAAAGAAAATTTTTATATATTATGTTTTACCCTACGAAATGAGATCGCAGATGGAGGGGGAGGCTAAAAGGGATGGGGAGGGACAAAGAAACTCGCAGCACAAACGCCACTGAGGTCAGCTCCTTGCCATATCAGCAAGTGTATCCAGCCAAACGTGTTCACCGTCTTTTGGACCCCAACCAGGGAGCCGTGACGCTCCAACCGAGGCTAGCTCCGAAGTGAGGGACTTCATTCCCCTGGACCAAGTCATCGCTTGGCCACCTCTCCTCTTCTTCCACCCACATCCCCGGTGAGCAAACAACACACATCGAGGGAGTCGGTGGGCTGGCATGCGTAACACGTGGCCGAGCCATCAGAGCCTGGTGCGGGAAATAACGGTGCTGAGCGGTGCAGATCCTTTTCCTGCACCGTAAACAAGGCGTCGAACACGCTCGTTACTCACGCGGTGTTCCCACCAGATGTGAGCCAAACTGCGAAGGCACCGATGGTCGAACGTAACTAGCCTCTTCATGTCCACCGATGTTAGGGGCCAGGTTTCGCACCCGTACAGTAAGGTCGAACGTACCGCTGCATTGTACACTCTACCCTTCAGGACGAGAGTGATGTCGCGCCGCCGCCATAGGTGGCGAAGGTTAGCAAAAGCACTTCGAGCTTTCGCTATACGGTTCGTGATCTCGTCTTCGATCCCAAGGGCGCTGATACAACTTCCCAGGTAATTGAATTTCTGAATGACTTCTATCTGATCCCCACCAAGGGTCAGCGCAGGAGGCGATCCCTGCCAATCTTGGAGGAACGCTTTGCACTTCGATGGTGCAAAGGAAAGCCCGAAGCGGTTGACAGTCAGTGGTAATCTGTCCAGCGCGGCTTGGCACGTATGGGAGCTGTCACAGATGAGGGCAGTGTCGTCTGCGTACTCCAAGTCAAGAAGTCGTTCTCCTTGGAGCGGATCCACACCTTCCAAGTCAGGTCCTGTAAATGCAAACTCCATGGCTTCGTCAGTAGCGAAGTTGAATAGGAAAGGTGACAGCGGGCATCCTTGTCTCACACCGCTGGAGATATTGACTGGTGGTGACAGGTTGCCGTAAGCCCTCACTCTGCCCGTGCTACGCGCATATAATGCTTGGATAATATTTACATATTTCTCGGGCACACCTTTCCTGAGTAGACAATTCCAAAGGACACATCGATCAACCGAATCGAAGGCACCTTTGATGTCGAAGAACACGACTAGGTTGGGCCGCCAATATGTGTGACGGTGCTCCAACAACTGACGCAAGGTGAAGATGTGGTCGATGCAGCCACGACCACGACGAAACCCGCCTTGTTCCTCACGAATCTGGCTTTCACGAGCTAGCAATTTGGAGGCGATGGAGATCAGACTGATTCCTCTATGGTTGCCGCATTCCGAGCGCGAGCCGCCTTTGAAGATGGAAACAATAACGGAGCGGCTCTAGTCGGTTGGGACAGTCTCCTGCTCCCACAGTTTCACTAGTAATTCATGTAAAGCATCAACAAGAGCAGAGTCTCTGAATTTGAAGAGGACTGGAGGAAGGTCATCTGGTCCCGCGGCTTTGTGTTAACTTCAACAGTCCGA